TGTCAAGCAATGTCAATTTCCATCGTACAGTAGAAAACTTGGCTTCACAAAAAAAAAATGCCTAATTGACACGGGTTTTGCTCCGCCTCAGGGCAGGGTTTGGCCACAATCTGGAAATCAGGTGAAATCAACCTCCGTGTTCTCGCTGCTTGTGATATTAGTTGTGGTTTTCTGGCGTGGCTGGGCACGAGCACATTTCTTTCCGCGCTCCAGTTCCATTCTGCGCAGATCTGTGTAGGACTTTGCCGTCACTCTCTGGGAACTGGGACTCAACCAAGTCGCTGAGAAACTCAGCGAGAAAGGGTGAAACCTGTGCTCTGTGAGGGCCAGCATCATGCCCAACGGGCTGGAGGCTCAAGAACATGTTGCCGAGGCATCACCGATGTCACAGGTTAACAAGTCAAGGTCCACTACCATGAAGTAACATTCATGAATTATGCCAACTAACGGCCCGGATATGTATATCATATAAATCAATATAAATCAATATAAATCAATATAAATCAATATAAATCAATATAAATCAATATAAATCATATAATTATGTGTATTAAGTGTATATAATATTATAGATACCATTTGAGTCACCAACAGGGACGGGCACACTAACATTGGTATCATCCGCTGCCCCAATTTTTGAGCTGCGAAAATCTACCTGATGGCCCAGGTACTCACCATGCCTGCAGCAGAATCGAACAGTAAAAGTTTGAAAAAAAAGAGCCGTTCCCTTCAGTCCGAAATGATTTTTGCACATGTTCGTGACTGGTTTGATTCCAACATGAGGGAAGTCGACGCAGAGCTGGTTGAGGAATCCACCTGAGGAATCCTACACAGCTGTGAGAACCAACAAAACTAGAAATCCATAGAAATCCAACATATTCCAACTAACATCGCATCTCCAGTTCCACAGTCTATTTTGCAACTTCCAACACTGTGTGTCCTTGCTTCACCCTGCGTGCATCCGATCATTTGGATGACTTTGTGATTGAGATTGGGTTAGTCCGGTTAGTCCGGTTAGTCCCAGTTTCTTCAGCTCCTTCATGCCAAGCTCTTCTAGAAGCTCATCTGCCAAGCTTTTCTTTGGCAAACAACCGATGCCTTGCTTGCCTCGGAACGTGAAACGCCGATTCGGGATATGATTCAGCCACAAGTGCCACTTTGTTCTGCATGTGACAAAGGCGGTCCAGTCACAGCATTTGCCAACGATGGAAGCTACTGGCCAAACATGGGGAGGTTTTGTCCAAATTTCCCAACACTTGGAGAATACAGGGAAAAGCATGCGTACTATATATCTATATATGCTATATACATCAAATGCCTTGAGCACCAAGACCAGCAAAATTCCTGGGGCCAAACTTGCGCAAAAAATGAACCCTCTGTTTGTGACTGGAAACCTGGGGTATTTATCTTGTAAACCAATACGTAATTTGTACTCAACCGGTACTTTGCAAATACCGACCGATACTTTGAAACGGTGTTTCGTAGTTTTCTTGTTTTCTCGAATTTGTTGCAAATCTCGTCAAGAATTGCCTAGGACTATGGAATAGAGTCTTCTGGACCTCCTGGTGCACTTCTATTTCCGAACAGCGTGGGACTCCTTCAAAAGGTTGTGGGATTCCCTTCAACAGGTTGTGATTTCATTTTGTGCGTTCCCTTTAAAAGAGCGCAACGTCTCTTTGAGAGGGATGCTTTTACAGAGACCTTCAACATGTGCGAATTTCGTTTGAAAAGGGTAGTAGTGCACTTTATTAGAAAGGT